AAGTCAACTCCACGACAGAGTGGCGCTCTCGCTCTGCTTCAAATTTACACTGCCCCAAGCTGATTTCCGTAAAGAATTGTTTGACCTGCTTTTTACTGATAAAGAGTTTTAGACGAGTCGACAGCCCGTTACTCCTGCCTACCCTCCCCCCCTACATCCGTGCTGTCTTTCTAAGCTGCAAAATGTTAAAATCCACCATTTTTTATAGAAAAATTTGATAAAATAGTGATAGAAATGTGGCGCCTATACTTCCAATCATTACGGGGCTGTTTACAAACTAAGTTCACGTCTTTATCATGAAATTTTGGGATTTTTGATGTGGCCATAATCCCTTTCCCGAAGATTGTCCGTCGTTGTGGGGTGGGTGGTATCTCAGTCCCTTAAACAACATCTAAATTTGTCGCACCAACAAACATGCAACATGGCCCTGAGGTAATTTCCTAATCGTTGTTGTTTAGAGCGGCGACTCGCCGCGTTGGATTGCATTCGCTGGATTTCTCCAGAGCTCGCTCCGCCACTCTTAAAAATAGTGCTAGCATTGTTGGCAGTGGTATTATCCTGAGTGTAGGAAGCGGGCAATCTCTGCATGCAGTTTGACTGCAGTATGCAAACATGTAAAATGTTTTGCTTGAGCCAGAAGATGAATGCTCGCGAAGTTTGACATATATTTGGAAACTGTCAGCATCAGCTTTGTTTGGCGTACAGATACACATGAAGCGATATGACTGAGAACACTAACAGTAGGCCTATGCTAGCGCAGATAGTTCCTGGAAAGAAAACACTATATTTGTTTGCAGATTGCATAAGTAATGTAGATAACGTATAATTTAAACAAATTTTACAATTTTGAACAATCATCGAATAATGAATTATAACTTGTTCTATCATAGAAAAGAACCGTTAATGAAAACTGTGATCGCTCGGCTATGTCCCGGATGTATAAACACTGTAAACATTGAAAGTACTAGTTTCGTAAGATTGTTTAGGTTTGCTGAAGAAATGTTATGAAAGTAGCAATACAAATGAGTTGTAGTGAATTTTTAGCAACATAGACGAGCTCGCAGTAGGTATGTCTATGCATTTGCTGCGAGAACATGCTGTTTTCACCATGCACACCATAACAGTGTGCCAATGTGATTACTAGTAATTGAAAACAATGCACGTGTGGTGCATACCTCTCTAAGCTTGGAAGTGGTTCAATGTACGCTTCCTACTCTCACCATTGTTCACATTTCTTTAGAGAAAACAATAGAATGTCCCTACCTGATGCCGACTCTGTCCTGCCACCCTCCCCATCGCTTACCCACCTGCTACTACCAACTACTGCAGCCTATTACTCATCCACCCCACTACATGATGACAGTGAAGTGTAACTCCAATAAACAGATAGAGACCATGTTCACATTAATCACACATGGCATTATTGGGCAAGATAAAAGTCGTAACCCAAAACCTAAACTTGACCACAGTCCACCACCAACTCCCCCCCTACACGCACACGCACGCACACACTGGCGGCTGACGACGGGCAAGGTGCAGTTGACAGCCGATACCTGTAGAGCGGGCGTGTAAACTTCATGCGACCCTGCTCGGTGACCATGTGCAGGGCCGGCCCGACGGCACGCTGCCAGCGCGCACGTAGTCCCAGCCGCAGCCAGCGGAAGCGAATCTCAGCATTCATCATCGCGCTGAAGCCATACAGCGTGTCCATGGCTTCCAGCTTCGCGATAGGCAGCGGCTCCTGGTGGCGAAAACAGGAATTAACACGTGCCTCTCGAGTACCGACATTAGCAAATGACTTTCACCTTCGGAATTATATTTCTCAAATGAAAAATTCGATTATAATCCATTATCATTTAAAATTAACTACTAAGCAGACCATCGTGCGACGTCTCGACATTGCGTTGCCGTGGTTACCTCGACGAGCAGGAGTGCAAGGAGCTCCCTCAGCTGCCGGCTGTTCATCGTCTTCACGTCGTCACCGCTGAACTGATCGAGTTTGTTGAGCGGCGCCTCCAGCCATCGGCGCGACAGGCTGACGCAGGCATCGGCCAGGGTCAGGTCGTAACTGTGAAGATTCACGTTATGCTGAGGAAGGAGTTACGTTACTGAGGAACGTTAGGATTAACACACCAAGGTTAGATTAGGGTTATTGCTGGGGATAGGTTAGGGTTATGGCTGGGGTTAGGTTAGGGTTATGGCTGGGGTTAGGTTAGGGTTATGGCTGGGGATAGGTTAGGGTTATGGCTGGGGATAGGTTAGGGTTATGGCTGGGGATAGGTTAGGGTTATGGCTTGGGATAGGTTAGGGTTATGGCTGGGGATAGGTTAGGGTTATGGCTGGGGATAGGTTGGGATTATGGCTTGGGATATATTAGCAGTGTTCAAAATAAGGGCTATCCGTTTGTCCTCACTTGTCCATTTCCACGGAGGACAAGTAGACCTGTACAGTATACTATAGCTTGTCCGATGGACAAGCAGCTTTTTAGAGCAACTTTTTCATCATTTTCTACCATCGCTTCAACTTTGTTAAAAGTAATAACTTAAAATAAATAATTGTGCTTCTTTATGTTCTTTCAAGTTTGGTGCCTAATTTGAACTGTTAGTGAACTCTATTAAAATTACAAAGTAAGATATTGGGTCTAAAATTAAATTAAATTAAATGTATTACACATTTACTATATTTCTATGTTATTAATCAGGACAAGCAAAAATTTTGCAGGACAACCAAAAATATCTTGTAGATTGTCTGTTGGACAAACAAAATATTTTTTCCTTATTTCGAATGCTGATTAGGGTCATGGTTGGGGATAGGTTAGGGTTATTGCTGTGAATATGTTAGGGTTATGTTTGGGGATATGTTAGGTTTATGGCAAGGGATATGTTAGGGGTTATGGTTTGGGATAGGTTAGGGTTATGGTTGGGCATATGTTAGGGTTATGGCTGGGGATAGCTTAGGGTTATGGCTGGGGTTAGGTTAGGGTTATGGTTGGGAATAGGTTAGGGTTATGGCTGTGAATATGTTAGGGTTATGGTTGGGAATAGGTTAGGGGGTTATGGCTGGAGATATCTAATGGTTATAGCTTGGGATATATTAGGGTTATGGTTGAGGATATGTTAGGGTTATGGCTGGGGTTAGATTAGGGTTATTGCTGGGAATAGGTTAGGGTTATGGTTGGGGATATTTTAGGGTTATAGTTGGGGATAGGTTAGGGTTATGGTTGGGGATATGTTAGGGTTATAGTTGGGGATAGGTTAGGGTTATGTTAGGATTACGGGTGAAGATGTTTTATGGTTATGGCTGGGGATATGTTAGGGTTATGGCTGGGGATATGTTAGGGTTATGGTTCAGAATAGGTTAGGGTTATGGGTGGAGATAGGTTCAGGGTTATGGCTGGGGATAGGTTCGGGGTTATGGTTGGGGATAGGTTAGGGTTGTGGTTAAGGTTCATGGGTATGGTCGGGGTTAGGTTAGGGTTATAAATTGGGTAAAGTTATGGTTATGATTAGGGTTGTGGTTAAGGGGTATGGTTGGGCACTCACTTAGGCTGCACGGGAGGCATTCCAGGCGCGTACAGCCAGGCATCCCAGTCCACCGAATCCAGCAAATCTTTCTAGAAATAACGCAATTAAAAACTAAAATGAAATCACACGCACTTGTCCAGCATGACGTAGAGCTAACGGATGATGATACAGGGAAATGACACATAACAGGTCTCTGCACCAAGGCATGTACTTTCCTGCAGATTGCAGTAATACTTTGCAGGGACAGGGATGCAGGTCTCTGTATATACAGTTACATACACCTCTTAGACGATGACACATGAAGAATTACTCGTCTTTGGCGACCAACACCGATATGGCCGCATGAACGAGCAAGTACCTTATCAGCAAAGTAGTCATACAACAGGTGTCGCCACTCGTCTGTCGTCAGCGACTTGTACTGGAAGTGGTTGACGTAGTGTCTCAGCCATGCCTCGAAGACCTCTGCAATGAGACGAGACACCGTGGCATCAGTCTCGCGCCAGGAGAACACAGACGTTACAATGCCGATCAATGGCAAAATACATCAGAAGCGAGTTCAATCGAGAGACTTTAACATCAGGAAGCACTTTGCACACTCTGCCCATTCCAGGTCACGCCGAGAGAAAATTTGCAAAAAAAGTGCACCTGCAGATATATTCCAGCCTCACACAATCCGCCCATTCGAGGGCATGCCAGAAACGAATTTACAAGAAGCCAGTTTGACAGTTTTTCCCACTAGGGGGTGCCTCACCTGCTCCGCCGAGCAGCGTCTCGAGGTAGAAGAGCAATGTGAAGCCCTTCTCATAGGGAACGGCAGAGAAGGCATCGTCCGGGTCCACACCGGTCAGGTCGGGCACGAGGTGTGTGTGAGCGTGGCCAGGGCTGAAGCTATCCACCTAAATAAACATAGGCAGGGGAAGCGGAGATTACAGACAGCCCCGAACCCCTTCCTCGCCTCCCTCCCACCGCAGTCCCTTGAAGATGCTCATTAAAACCATGGTTATGAAAA